GAACATGTGTTGTTTATTCAAAACATAATTTGCTGATTGGAAATACTGCAAATCAAAATTTCTCTCTTCCATTTCAAATCGTTCTTTCTCTTATTTGCGATTCAATATTTGAATGAAAAAAGTTTTGAAATAATCATGCACGAGTTAAATTGTTGATGGAAACAACAATCACTATGAAATATTGACGGTAACGAAATATGTATTCAATATGTACAGTGATTAAATAATAACATAAACAATAGGCAGTTAACACGGTGCTTGATGTTGGATAAATTATTTGAAGTCAAGAATTCAAAATGTCGATGTAATTGGAAACGAAAAATGAATAATTACAATGGATAGTTACTAACCGGTGATACATATTTTAATATATTGCAGAATTGAAAAATTCCAAAATTCTAATATTCTTTCTTAAAATCTTTCAAAATGAAAAATATTAAACACTTAATAGTGTTAATAAAGCTAAGGAATCTGATTCACCTCCATAAAATCCTAGTTATGCCACTAATAATCACTCTCAGTAATGAAAGGGTTCATAAGACATATTTCAAGCGTGGTTATTCAACAATGTCTGTATTCAAAAATTTCTGAGACTTCTGGCAAACGATCCTGATAATCGATCGCGTATGCTCGACACTCGAGTAATTTCAATTGGAATGCAATTGCCGGATCGATTTAGAAACGACCCCCATACTGGGACGGATTCCACAACTGTTCGCAATTTCGTTATTAAAAAGGAACGTCACCGGTATTTCTCATTTCTACTTGTACACCTTCAATAATATAATCATTCAAACTAGCCCCAATTTTTTAACCGACCTTTCACCTCAACACGAACATTTAACTTCTCTGAATGATTTATTTATGAAAAATGATGAATGAGAGTATCGATATTTTCTTATTTTCTGCAATTTTCCTCTGTCCTACAAATTGATACGAATTGACGTTGATAGAAAATCAATAACGCGTGTGTCTGCTCTTTTGATATTCAATATGTGTTTCTTATAGATTTCTCTGCGCTGCATATAAAACAGCAATCAATTTTTTTCTGTAGTGTATCTAGTCTTTGAAGAAATGTAACTTTCAATTTAAAAAAAAGAAATATTACAGCAGAATAGGATTTACCCACCATTAGTCTGTAAAATTATAAGATATTCTATTTTTTAGTAAATTTATTTGCAACAGAAAAGCACTCTCTCACTGACAAAATTTTTCTACTATCTAATTGAAATTTCGTTGAGAAAATAAGTCCTTATAGTATGTAAGAGGATCAATTAATAATATCAACAATTTTCACACGACAAGTTGAACAGTGATTTGCAGTAATAGCAAGTCACGAGACAGTCAGGCCCCAAAGGAAATTTCCGGAAGTTCTAATCTCGGTAATGTTACGATCGATCTGTCTCATATGGATTTCCAGAAGCTCTGCTTTTCTGCTTGACCTCATAATCAACGTCACTGTACTGTATATTTTCGATAAAAATAATTTTGTTATCCTGAATCACAGAAAATTTCAAATATTTGATAAAGGATTAAAATTTCGATTAATATTCATAATCAGTCTTATTTATAAAATGATCCATACTAAAATTTTCATGTTGTGAATTTCATATTTCTAATCGATGAATCTGAATTATTCTTAGAATTCTATTCTTTAATCTTATCAAGTATTCAAGTTGTGCGATGAACTTTGAACTGAAACTTTCAACGTAGCTATTTTGCTGACTAATAGTATTAAGAAATGATATTAATTAATATTAGCGATCCATTGAAATTTTCTTATAATCAAAAATGAAATAATATTGAACGATAATGAAATTACTTTAATTTTCTCTGCTTTCCTATATCCTTTAGATAAAATTCTTGAACCGCATAAGATTTTCTATAAATTTATTAGAAAAGAAAAATAGTATCGAATTTAAATATTTCACCGCTCTGATATCCTGTTTACGTATCCATTACCGCAATATCTGGCACACGTATCGGAATTATTCTTGGGAAACAAGAAGTGTTACGCGAGTTTGGGCAATCGTTGCACCGATAGTATCTTGGGAATAAGCTTTCTCGCTCTTTTTACGCTTCTATTTCTTCGTTGCAATTCAGGTATCAAAAGAAACAACCGGTATGCTTGAAAACGAACACTCGCTGAGCTTTCTACGGAGTTCAATTCACTGTTGTTTGTGCAACTGGCTATATCGAGTTGCATTCCGTTGTTCAATTACCGTCGAGGTTTATTTATCGATGAGAATTTCTTTAACACTTTGACTACTACAAAAACACCGTGCACCTTTATATGTAGTGTTAAACGACGATTTCATTATTCAATTGAAACTTTTTGAAAATAAAAAAAGAAATTTGTTTTCTATTTTTTCGCGGTGCTCGAGGAATTTACAATGTCTATTCCATGAACCGGTGAACAGGGAATAACGAAGCCGCAGGTGACTTCTTTTTTTCTCTGAAGCTTTTACGAATCGACCGCGTAACGTCTAGGTAAAAACACCCTTGTTCCTCGCAAGTATACGTTAACAACATACACAGAGGTCCAGCGGGAGTAGTAAATAGAACAACAGGTCTGTCGAGTGCGCTCATCTGACTCCCACGCACTGGACTAACCATAACGCGAACAGGTGCATTGTACGCGTTTCGTCTGCGTCGGGGTGCAGCGGCGTCGAGAGCTACCAGAGACCCGGACAATGTGCTCTCATTAATGGTGTCGCGGTTCTTGTACTTTTCCATTTTTATACTCGTCGAAAAAGTCAACGTTCCATGTCTAGTCGCCGTTTATGACTAGACTGGGTCGAATCTAAAAACCTTGTTTCAAGGGCTCTGAATATTTATTTATTTATAAACAGATGGCGGAAGAAAATTCAAAATTGAAAAAATTCTGATAAAATTAAGATACTAAATCATCCCTAATGGTGTTCGTCTAGATGCGTCAGTGCATCCGGAAACACGTAACGTGTCCCGACAAACGGTTTTCCGATAATCTTGCCGACGCTGTACAAGCTTCAATGGCATCCCATAACCCTGTGTAAACGGCTGATGCACGGTTATTTCAATAGAGGCGAATGTACGTGTGCGGAGAACGATGAACAGGCAAAAAGAGACCAGTCAACGGGAGCATTTTGAACCGAAACGATCCCCTGTCGAAACTCGACGCGTTCACCTTTTGCACAAGACAGATTCGAATGCCTTCCCGACACCATTTATAACCTCGATCCATTTTTCTATCTTTTAGACAGATCCATGGATACGTGGCTGCACGGGCCACGTGTGCACACCTTTATGTTGTAAATGTTTTCGAATGACGAAACTGTTCGCTTTCGAAGAAATGAATAGCGAATGGATGAATAGGAATGGAAGAGTTCGAAAGTGCAGTGGGAAATTTTGTATCAATGGGAATACTAATACATAAAATTTCATTTTCCCAACTTTTCGATTTCCCAATTTTCCTATTTTAAATTTCCCAATTTTATATGTCCCATTTTTCTTTTTTACCAACTTTTCAATAAACTTCTACACCCATTTCTCTAAATTCCGAAATACGCGAAACTTCTACACGTCAACCATAGCAATCTCCTATAATCTACCAGGCAAACAAAATTCTATTTTTCCTGGAAAATACTCGACGACATTTTCCACAAACACATCGAAGCGGCAGATTTCTCGATCAGAACAGTTTCCGGCAAAACTCGGTTATACTTATTTCCGAGCTGTTGAGTTCGCTGGAAGGCTGGAACGAAGTTTCTCGTTTCGACACGATGCGGCGACATTCTTCGTCTTCGATAGAGAACGGACACGAGGTTTCTATCAAAGATCGCTACGACGCTCCACGAAGCATAACTACTTCCGATAAGTTGCAAGGAGACCCCGGAAGAGCATCGAGGCGGACATCGAAACGTTAGCCCGCGCAAAATGGTTCGCGCAAGCTCGATGCGGTTCACGGGCGAACAATCTTCTATGGAAGTTTGCTTTTGCCCCCTTTGATTCGTTTCCACAACCTTGCTGGGAATCTGTCTTCCGGTTCTCTCAAAGCGGATGCCGCGAATCGACGGCATTTTTATTTTTCCAACGATCCACGATTAATTAAGCTCCATTTAAGATTAATTTTTTAACCGATAATTAAAACAAAAATATTTGAAAATCTTAATGTTAACTATTGAACTCTTTACCTATGAATTTTATTGGAACAATATTGGTTCAGTATTATTAATTCCAAACCATAAATTATACCATACCAAATATTTGATATTGATACTTAATGAGATTATTGATCTATATAATAAAACTATTGACTTTCAATATAAAATTAAACAACAAATTTTTTTATTTTTAAAAATGATCGAAATAGGTAAATCGACCTTTAATTTTCTAAACCCATATTGATCTTTTTTACTTTCATTGCTACAGCTCCACTACAAATTCTTACAAAATACCACTGATCATTTGCTATTTTGCCAAAGTATTGATATCTACTTGATAGCAGGCCAAATTGAACTCCGCTTTCTAGAGGCGTGATAAATGAAAAAAAAAGAATGTAATGCGAAAGAAATCGTTCGCGTGCGAAATTGAACGTCGGATCGAGCGTTTATCGCGGTCAAACGGACCCTTAGGTCTCTTTTTGCTCTATAGCCTGGAGGCAACGAGTGATCTTGATAAAAACGCGACAAAATTCGCTGTTCATGCAAATACCGTGCTACGTTTCTTAGGTCAAAGAAACAGACGTGTAAAAAAAATAATTTTCTTGTAACCACAGAATCGCAAATTTTCAGTTACTTAAATGTACTTACTGGTCTTGAAAATATATATCTAATACAAGAACTAGAATAAGGACAGTCTAAAATATTTTTCTTCCACACAAACAATATTAGAATGGTAATATCTTTGATCTTTCGTGAATTTTACTGCGGAGGGATTGAAATATTACCACAAATATGTCGATAAGTAAATTTCTCCTCGGTGAGATCAAGGAAACAATAAGACTTTTGAGAGAAACTTACCAGCGCAGCTGTATCCATTTTTATGAAGAATATAGCCGTCTTTGCAATCACATTCGTACATTCCGTCATGAAGTTCGTAGCAGAGCTGCTCGCATGGAGACCCGTGGCCGCATCTTCCTGAAATACAAAGAATCATATTTTCAGACGAAAGAAACAAACTCCAATAAAATATATTTCAAGTTTCCGGGGTATTGATAAACTATCGGAACTACACTTTCAAGGGTGAAAACAAATGATCTGCGAAGTTGAAAATAGAATATCCTCACAAAAAATTTCAATTGGTAGAAGAAATATGTTTTCTTTACTTAGAAAAAATAAATCTATCAATAATTATTGTATAGTACATATTAATTTATCCTGAATTTATCTGAATATTAATATCTTCAAAATTATTCATAATGCTCGGTACAATGTATAAGATTTCATCCTATCAACAAGTTCTCAAAATTTTCAGCTTGTTCTCAGATACTCTACATAAGTTAGGAGTTGAATGAACATTACGGCCGACGACGATAAATTTTCCCGATTTCTAAACGTGTCCTCGCGAATCACCAAGAGAACGGTTCATTTATCCGTTGAATTATTCCACGGTTCTCGTCAGAACGCTGGCTCAGCGTCGTCGCTTTCGCGCTTTAAGGATTTCCAACCGGTCGATCGCGACCAGCTCGACGGAATAATTCACGTCTAACCGCGAACTTCCTGCAGGATTACAATTTCCTGGTCGCCGTAACGGCACGCTCTATATCCGCTTACCCTTCGATCGTTCGAGCCTGATTGCCTCCGACAGTTTCCAACGGCGACACTGGCCGTCTTACAGACCATTTCCTTCTACAGGTATGTACACACCACACATACCAGCTGAAATTTTCCACCACTAAACAACAGGATTAACCCGATAATCGCTAATAATGGATCGCGAAGCTTTGTCAATTTTCTATTCTGAGAAGATCAATGGAAGAATAACAGAGAAGTTCCTTTTAATCCTTACATGGACATCTGGATCTAAATGTACCCATGGTTCATGATTTTTTTTTCAAACTCATTTGTTAATTTGTGATACTATTTTAAACGTCTTGTAAACACCTGAACAGCTCCATCAAAATCAACCCTTCAGGTACATCCTTTATGAAACTATCCCTTGGGATATCCAGATTAACCTTTTCCAGTGAACGGTTTAAATTAATTATTCAAACTTTTCGACCTATTCCCTGCTGATGATTTTAATAATATTTTAAGGAACAGAAAGTAATTATCTAGCGACAATATAAATTCTAGAGATTATAAAGGATTTACTTTTGAATAGTAAAAAGTGGAACGATGAAGTCTATTCGCTATCAGATTTCGTCTAATCTCGTCAAGGATTTAGACATCCAAAACTCCAAATATTCTGTTTACACGTAGGAGCATTGTTTTCGCGGATCAAGAAGGCTAGGGAGGTCCAGGTGAAATTTATTCGAGAAATCCTAGCCACGCGAACCCCAGCATAAATTCACGGACCGAGGAAAAATGGATCATTCGCTAACTCCGCAAAGTCGGGTTACAACGTAGCCCATCTTGCAACCCCCGTGCGTTTTTATGGCTCGACGTTGGCATAACTTTGGTCCCGTGAAAGCCGTGCCGCGTCTTTCCTGCTCTTAAAGTAATAAATAATGATAAACCCCGGCGCGAGTCGCCTCCAACAGCTACCAACCTGGAACCTTCTCAAAACGAACGGATACGTTCACGCTGGTCTTACGCCGGTTATTTATGGCCCCCGTTAGGCGAAAGCCAGGGAATAATGTAACCTTCGTCTGGCAACGATTAAAATGTTATTAACACTTGGAACACTGATTGATGAACGACAATTTTCGGATGGATGAAAAAAAAGAAATTTGGAAATTTTTGGACACTTGTTGCACTTAAATTAGGCAAATTTTATGTTAATTAAATTATTTTATGAAGATTCTATTTAAAAGAAATTAAGTCTCTTATTTTTCAAAAAAAAAAAAAAGAAATAAGAAGTTTGAGATTTGAACTCACGACCAGGCCAGTTTCGTTTCCTGCGAAATTGGGAATGAGTTGAAACTACAATATACAAACGGTCCTAATTCAAGTGCACGGTTTAGGTGTCACGAATCTGTTGATTAACCTACATATTAGACTAGTGACACGCATGTAAGCGTGCACAAAGCTGTTCCAGCTATGCTGTTTCACTCGTAATCAGACATCCTCGGCAGGAATCTGATTGATAGTGTCAGAAACAAGAACACGCATTAATCTCTCTGCTAACAGACACCTTACTCGTCTAATGACGATGATATATCTCTAATTAAGCATATCACTTGGGATTCTCTCAAATCTCTTCATCAGATATTTCAAAATCTATCAATTCATACGAGACATGGGTTAAGTTTGTCAATAATTAATATCATTATTGATAGTCAGTATTACGAATTTAATTTGGTAAAATAATTAAAAAATTTCTTTTTAACCGATACTATGTAACTCATAGTAAATACAGATTATCTAGTCAAAAAGCATCCGGAAAATGAAAGAAGTAAATAGGGGTTGCAGGGTTCATTGACGATACAGAAAGCCAGCCGATCGTTGTCGGTGCTCCTTTACGATGGAACAAATTCACGTAGTGACCGGGCATCCGTAAATACGGGTTCCGATTTCCATCGGCGGGGTTTATCGCAACGCAGCGAGTCGTGCCGTAGGGTGAAAAGCCACCCTAACAATAAGTCGACGATCTGTAGCTGCGGCAGTATCTAGATTGGCTGGCAATGGCTTCCCAGGGAAATCGTCTAAGGAACTTTATCTTTCTCTCTCTGTGTACAACAGACAGAATATCTTTTTGACTTACGACAAATAAGTCGAATTTCCTGGATGGATAAAAGAGACGGATTATTGGTCGTCCAGACTTAAATGACAGATTCTGAAAACGAGGAAAGAGGATGAAAAGTATCACGGACCATTCCAAGGATTTTACGCGAGGAATACCTTCGAAAGGATTCGACCTCCTTCAACTGGGTTATCTTACGTGCTCATCTCGAAATTGCATTGGTTCGAGGAAACGCAACGAGAGACAGAGAGACATTGAATTCGAGGGAACGTTGCCTCTTCGAACGATTCTGAAGGGGATGTTTCACTACTTTGTCCTACTTCTTACGATTTTCCTCCAGGGAGAAGATATTTTTGTACTTTAAAGTTAGTAGGGTAGCTTTTTTACTGGAAGATGATTCTATTCGACTAAAAAGGTAGAAGTTGGGATCAAAATTTATGAGTTGAAACGCTTTGTTTTATAACTTGAGAAATAGAAGTGTTGTAAAGATGTCGATTCAATCTTTGTATGGTAGATTTTGAAATTTTATAGTGCATTCAAAATTGAGGTGGTAATAGAGAAAATAATTAGGCGATAATTACTGATGTATACCAAACTACCAAAAGCTAACTTAATTTTAAAAATGTCATTCCTCGCAGACCATCAAAGGCAACCGCTTCTAATCGCTTTGAGGCAATCGTTCATTTCCCTGTCACAGATTACGAGATCAACCAGCGGGAAAAATAAAATCGAACAGGGAAAATCTGATTCACCAAGGTACACCAACCAACCACTATGGTACGTTTCCGAGTTCGATGACCTCTGGCCTACGTTTGTTCGTTTCCCTCTACCAGTACATCTCATTCTCATCAGAAATCCTTTTGATTTATGACCACATATCAACAGATAGTATCTACAAATCGAACAAAAACTTGGTAAATCATCTCTACCCATCGATGAAACAAATATTTGTCTATCTTTCTACGTGTTCTCCCTTCAGAATCATTTATTTCCTTCATCGTCATTTCTTGTCTATTCTAAGAAATTTTTTTACTAAATTCAGGAACAAATTTTTATATTTTTCGATTGAATTTTATTTTATTTTTGTTGGATTTTCATTCACCTTTCCAAAGTAAATGAACGCATTTTGAGAACCCCTGACACCCACCACCCGCACCGACAAGCTGGGGTGGGTTTCTATAGCAACGCGCTACGCTCGGACACGTCGTCCGACTCTCTGAAATGAGTAGCACATCGTTCGATTTGGAAATCGAAGCAGATCCGAAAACCAGTTCCTGGTCGTCGTTTAATCGCGTCGATCGGTTCCTTTTTCGCGCAACCCAGTCTTTCCCAGTCTCTCCCACAATGATTCAGGAGGAAGGTACCATTAAAAATGAAAATATCCTTCCTTGATTGAAAATTTACTCGAGACCTTCTATAAATTTGTATTCCAAAATTTTCAACAATTCAATGAGAAATTCAATGGACGGAATTCCCAAAGCACAGTTTAAAAAATTCATGGTTTTCGTTTGGAGGAGGTGGGTAAAGAGAATTATTGCTAATACAAATTACGTCGTTTCATAATAAATCAGACAGGAGGGTGTCGAATCCAGGTAGAAGGAAAGTTTCGAGTGATCAGGATAGAAGGAAGGGAAAATCTAGATAGAGGTTCGAAGTTAGACACTGAGGCTGTGCGATTCGAATCGTCACACACGCCAACTGCTGACATACAAAGCCACGGACCGGAATGTTTGTTTTAGAACCTCAGATCGTTAATCCTGGATCTCCAAAGGCGAGGCCGATTAACGGCTCTCCGAATCAATGGATCCGTTCAGAGGATTTGTTCAGGAATCTGTGCGAACGTGCAAACGACGCGAAGTAACTCGTTTAAAACTGAATCATAAGACAAGGCCAAGGAATTGAAATTTGTATTCCAAAATAAATGAAATAAGTTATATTAAATTCAAGAAAAATTTCAAATGACGCACCGGGTGAGTCATTGATTCCAAATGAAATAATTGTAGCATTGAGGTGTTAATTAAGAATGTATAAATATAATGAAATTTAATAAAATAAAATAATATTAAATTGTTGAACATTTGAAATAATTATTAACAACTCTGAACAAACTAGTTTTTCAATTGTATGTAGCATATCAAGTACAAATCGTTGTCAATTTTTCGAATCTTGTCCAAACAGAGAACAGGATTCCACAAACAAGGGTTGAAAAATTTCCTATTTTTTCAAGATTCCCTCGTGTTTTATCATCAAACTAGCCTCTATTATTTCTCCTGCACGCATTATTCGCCGCGTT